TTGAATAGGTATTCTTTCTATCTTTAGCTAAAAGGTCTGAGTTTCTTTTTCCCTCCTTCTTTTGAAAATATTTATATATATATTCGCTTTTTAATCTTTTTTTGTGTGTGTGCGAAACAATGATGATTTCACCCTGAAAGGCAATGAAAGTAATGCACTTTTACTACATCCTTTACTCTTCTTATTTTATATTTTCCACAATCTGCCATGAACTGGAATTTTCCTTCCCAGATTTATAATATATTTATCATACTTCTGTAGCAATTTTTAAAGAAAATGTAACAGTTTTATTGTGGAATTCTATTATTTAGGCTCAGTTCTCTTTTTAAAATGATCTGTTGCTTATCTGAGTTCTTTCTGATTACAGCTTCTTCATTGTGAACTTATTTTGATTCATTTTATGATTTGATTGTAGCTCAAGTTGATTTTTTTCCAGGATACATATAGAGATATTATATATTCTGAGTTCTTAAATATTTGAAAGTTGCATGTGCTTTTATATATAAAACTATCTTAGTTGGGTATGGAATCTTGGGGTCACATCTTTTCTGCTCAAAAACACAGTAAATATTGTTTGTTCTTTTGAGTCTAATGTTGTTGAGGGGAAGTCAGAAATAAGATTAATTTTTACCTGTTTCTTCTGTCGGGATGGTTTTAGAATTTTTTCTTTGTTTTTAAATAATCTCTGCAAGAGGATACATCATAAAGTTAATTGTTCTCTATTAAATTTCTCTGGATCCTCATGAATTCACATAATGAGTTCAGACAATGAGAACAGAAAACATCTGCGTATTTAGATATTTCCATATTCTGGTAAAGTTTTCTTCTATTATATCCTTAAATGTTTTAATACTTCGTTTTTATGCTTTTAAAAAACAGCCCCTAATCTCTACATGAAATATATCTAATATCTGTCTTTGATACATATATTTTCCTAATCAGTATATTCTCCTTGCCCCTTTCCTTTGTGTTTTCTGCAATTTTCATCAGCCTAATCTCTGTGACACTAATCCAGATTTTTGCCACCTACATTCTCTCCCTCAGTCTTCTAAAGGTAGTTCTAAATTCTGCAACGGTTTTTTGTGTTTTGTTTTTTACTGTCATCAGCTCACTTTCCTTCCTATTGCCTTGCTATCTTGTCTTTCAGGTTTTCTTCTTTGGGTTCTTCTTTCATAGTGTTTATATTATATTTCGTTTCCTGGGGAGTACAAAGGGATCCTTGCTTAAATTTTCTGCTGTTTCCTGCAGTAAGTCTTGTTCCAACATATATTCCTCATTTGCTTTTCTGTTGGTTACATTTCTTTCCATTCGTCAAATATTTTGCAGAACTTTTGCATAATTTTTTTTCTGCTTACTCATCTTTGAAATAAGTTAAGCCTGTTTCTTTCTGCTACTTGCCAGAAATATTATGAATGGAAAATCTTTGGCAGTTCTTCCTTTTTATTTGCCTACTTGTTGAAATTTAGTTTTGCATTAGGGACTTGCTGTTGGATATTTTTGTTTCATTATTTATCTGCTTATAGTCTAGGTTGTATGGAATGAAGAGGTGGGGAAGAGAAGTTGAGGAGAGAAATATGGCAGGCTTGGGTATATTATCTTAGCACACACAACACCCACCTTCCAATTTTGTTGAAACAACTGGAGTTCTACCCAGTCTTGCAAACTCTGGAATTAGGCAGGATAGTCTGGGACAGGCTAATTCGGTATAGAAACCAATGTAACAAGGGCCATTTGTTTATTGAATAGGTGCTCATTTTTATTCAGTAAATTGACTTTAATCGTTAGCTGGAAAATTCTTTAGCAGCATCTCTCTTCAAGATTAGCAGTATCTCTAGGTCATCATTCCTAAATGGAATGGCTAGAAGGCTGTATTCAGTGAAAAGCAGAAATATTGGTCACCATGTTTCTTTTAACATGGTAGCCCTGGCCGTTCCCACTGATGGCTACTCATCTTTGTTGGGTCCTACTCCCAGCCTTTGCTCTTCCAAATTGAGTGTTAGTTGGACCTTCAAAGACTTTTCCATTCCTTTTCCACAAATCTAAGTCATAAATAGGGGAGACGAGTCTTGAACTTGGTGTTCTCGTCCCATTAGTTCATCTTTAGTAGGCATTCTGGGGGCTCGTGGAACGGAACTGTGGCCATTTTATAGTTTCAGGATAAATGCGGAGTTTCCATCTCTCTTTTTTGGTCCTTTATGATCTTTTAAGTGGACTTCAGGGAAAGGAGATTTAGACGTTAAGATGTTTTATATATTAACGTCTATTTTATACTGTGAATAATAACTTTATTTTTTTGTTTTGTAATTTTAGTTATACTACCAATTGTTTTATATATATATATATATCCCATATATATATATATATATATATATATATATATATATATATATATCCCATATATATATATCCCAAATGGAATTTGTGTATCATCCTAGGTGTTCTTATCTTTAAAGTGACTTTATACATGGAATTTCTTCAGTTTTTAAAATATTCAATTAGTAACGGGAAAAATCTGTAACAAAACATATTTGAAAATGTAGCTCCCCCCCGCACAAGGTTGTTGATTTCTTGAAGTTATCTCTACTTTTATTTATATCCTCTGATTTACTGAAAATATGTAGCCTTGGTTATGCTATCCTTATGAATTTCCTCCCCCCCAAAGAGTAGTTTAATATTTATGAATGTGCCATTGTCCTGCAGTCCTCACAAATCTCTAATATTACTGAAACCAATCAAGCAGGCTGAAGGCATCAGAAACCATTCTTTCTAGACAGGGAGATGAAAATGTCACCCAAATGAATGAAAAATTCTTTGGTGCATCAGTTTTCTCTGTTTCTCACAGTACTCCTTCCTTTCCCTGTATTGAACGTTTCCACTTGTGTATTCTAGTAGATATAGTAGACACTTGATATTTGGGATTTTTCATGAATCCTCCAATCCATTCATTTGAAAATATTTAAAACCTTATACCCAAAAATGAGAAACCCCAACTTCCAGGAAGATTTTCAGTGACTTGGACATTTTTTATATATCAAAACTTCCCAATATTTTTTTTGTAAGTTATTTGATGAAAGTAAAGGCACTCCTGATGACAAATAAAAAAATAACAAAGGCAAAATGAGAGGCAGATGCTGGGAAAACTGGGAGAATAAGGTAGGTTCACACACCAGATGGGGCTTCTGCACACCAGCCTGCGTTTCTGAGGGTTCAGATATTTGGGGCTGCTGGTCAAACGTTAAGTGACCAAACGCACATTTTCCCAGTATTGGTTCTGTGGCTGATAATATTTAAAGAATCCTGTTTTTGTCAGGTTCTTTGATCTCTCAAGGATAAGCAAGATAATTCATATTTTACCAACCCACGTCTTCAATTACAAACCTTGTGGTAAAGATCCCTACTGTCAAATTTTAACACTGGGCTCAGAATTCCCATTGCAAATTTACACTTGGTTTTCCAATTAAAATGGGCTTTTGCGAGTCCCCTGCTGATAGCCATTGGCTCGATAAAAAGTAACTTTATTTGCAGAAAGGGTGTTTAGGGAGCCCAGTGCAAGGTTGACTCTTCTGCTGTTGCCTTGAGCCCAGTTGTGCTGAAAATGTTAAACTTTAGTAAATTAGGTGAAATTGCAGCTTCCTGGCTGATACAATAATGCCCTTTACTTTTTTTCTGGAAACCATCTTCAGCGTGAGTTGTCTGCACAATTCTTCAGCTCTAAGAGAAAGCAAATTCAGACTATCTTCCAAATCCAGACAACTTTTCCATTTTCAAGATAATTGTGTCCTATCCCACTTATCTAATAGTGCTTAAACTTTCAAACACATAGAATTGGATTACTTTATTATTTTAGCACCAGCTGAAGATAACATTACTTTATCATACCCATCCTCAGATAAGCGGCTGGATCCCTAAAAATGTCAGTCTTAAGTAAAAGTAGCAACTTTTCCTTTATCGATTAATACATATTTTAATAGGAATAGTGAACTATGGAAGGAAATCCTACTTCTAGTCACGTTTATTTTCAGGTTTTTTTTTTTCTTTTTCTCTTTAAGAAGAGCATTAATTCTGAGGCGTTTTATTCATTGACCAGACATTTATTGATCAACTGCTATGTGCAAAGTTCTGGTGCGGTTTCACCCAAGTATTTTAAACTGGAGTAAATGCAGAATTAGTAGAAAGGAACTAGGCAGCCTTGCATGTCTCTTCTTGATATATGCTGTGATTTCTTCTGAGATGAAATCACTGGCGACAGCTTTATTGAGCTGTCTGGGCTGCTGGCTTCTCAAAGGCTCTCACATTGGTTTTTCAGGTTAAGACCTTATGCCTCTAGGAGAGTTCAGTTGAAATATATTTTTGTTACTAAGGACACTAAAACCTTTGAAAGCACCTTTACCAAGGTCTTCGCAAGGTGGTAGAGTCCAAGGGTTGCTTTTGGAAAAAATATATACAAAAGCAGATGGAATAGTCCAGTGAGCCCCCATATAACCACCGTGGAGTTTAGGGTCTATGGATGTTCCTCCAGGGTTCAGAGGCAGGGGCAAAACCCCGGGAGGTTGCACAGTGAGCCCTGGGGCCATGCGCAGACAGAATAGCTTAGGGCCGAAAGAGGAGAGGCCCACGCCCAGATGAATAACTGGGAAGCCAGACCGTATCACGCTGTCATGGGATCACTCCTCTAGTATAATACATGAGATTCTAACTAATCAGTGAGATGCTAACCAATATGATCCAGCCCAATGTGAATTAGAGCAGGGGTCTGACAACTTGTTCTGGAAAGGGCCATAGAGTCAACGTTTCCGGCCCTCTGGGCCGTCTGTTCTTTGGGACCACGACTCAATTCTGTCCTTGCAGCGCAAAAGCGGCCCTAGATCAATAAATACAGCCACACCCGGCCATTGGTAACACAGAGGAATGGGGCAGGCAGTTGGTCCAAGGAAGCTCTTCACAGAAACGGGCAGGGTACGAGTTCGGCCTGCGGGCGGTAGTTTGCCCGACCCCTAGGGATGGCCTGGCCCCCGGAAATCCATTCGCCATCCCTCCGAATCTGCCTTCAAGCAAGGGGAGGTGCTTGGAAGTCCCTAGCAGCCTCTGCGCGTGGGACGATCCAGCAGAGCGACTACTCCGTTTCCAAAGTTTTGGAAGTGGGCCCTTCCCTCCCTGTTCTTCCGCCTCCCCGAGCGCTCGCTCTACTCCGCAGGGGCGCAGAGCCAGGTGTGGTCCGCCTGGGCGGGCTGCGTGGGCTTCGGAGAAGAGCGCGCGGCCGCCCAGGGGCAGGTGAGGGCGCAGGAAAGTTGGAGCCCAAGCAGCACGGCGTCCAGCTCCCGAGCCCCAACCTTCAGGTGACCCCGCGCGGCGGCGGCGGCGACCAGAGCCCGCAGCAGCGCCGAGCGCCTCCGGGAGGAGAGGAGGCGAGCTGGGCGCCTCGCCACCGCCAGCCGGGCTGCCACAGCGATCCGGGGCTGGGCGGGAGCCGGGGGAGAGAGCCGGGCCGCGGCGGCTACCTCTGCCCTGCGAGAGCGGGCGGGCCGGGCCGGGGACGCGCGCCGCCGCCGCCGCCGCCC